CTGACTCTCACCAGTGGCTATGGATGAAGTCACAGGCGATTTTCAGCCAGCGCCGGTAAATTCTTAGAATTTTACACAACAGAATTATGTGCGTATGAAAACCCAAAAGCCAAAAGTGGTAAAAGCAGCTCTATTCATAACGACCCTCAAATGCAACCAAGAGTAGAGTGGATAAATTATTGAATATTCATACTATTGTGGCACAATGATTTAAGTGATATGGCCCTTCAGCCAAATCTTCCATTTTGCAATTCCAGCCTCTTTGCTCATGTTCAAAACCACATCTGGGAATGGGTGTTTTCTTTGATTGCTGTGTTTGTGGTTTTGTTTTTTTTTTTCATTTCTAAGCATGTAGGTTGTCAAACATCATCTAGTGCTGTTAGAACACAAACTGAAATGTATTTGTTTACAGTTTGAGGACAGGAGTCTGAATTCAGAGTTCCAACTCCGGAAGAAAGCTTTATTTCTCTGGTCATTTTGGAGGAAAATCCTTCTCTTCTCTGTCTCTTCTCTGTGTACTATGCATTCATGAGTAGTTTTAGTCTGTTGTGTTTGGGGGTTTTTTATACTAGTTTATTTACAAAATTCTAATACATTGTTTTTTCAGACCAGATTCTTCCAATTTCCCTCACCCCCACACCCATCAAATTGTACAACCCCATGATTAATCCCCCACCCCCACCCCTGTACAGTGGGACTGAGTGAATTCACTCAGCATAATGCTCTCCAGTCCCCGGGAGTGTTATTTGTTGTACTAAGAGATAGGATTAGAGCGAAATCCATCTTCAAGCCCCACCCTTACAATGTCTGATCAAGTGGCCACCCTCAATTCTCCTGGGGGTGTGGTTTAAACCCTAAGATCCTGTATAGAGGGAAGCTCCTGGTAAACTCCATCCTTTTTCCCTCCAGACGAAGCTTTGAATCTGATTCAACCAGCTGTTTCTACCACTGATAGCCTCAGCCTGCAGGTCCCTGGCCTATAGACATCAATGAGAATGAACTTTTTTTAGACACAATAATAGCAATGAATCTCAAAAGTACACCGTATGGGAAACCACTGTATACAAAGTACAGATTCATTACGCTAAATATTTATGACTTGTATGCTTTTCTGATTAAATATTTTAGCTTTTCTGATTACATATTTTACACTGATTAAAAGTTGCTTGTACAAGTTGTAACTCACACATTTTTTTCCAAGACATGTGAAGAAAGAACCACAGCAAAAAAACCACTTTTCCCCCGGGGGGAGAGAGACAACAGATGTGTAGCATTTCAAGGTACTTTTGAAAAATAAGCACGTTATGGTGGCGCAGCGGTTAAAGTGTCAAGCTTGCCAAAGAGTCTAGAGTTCCAATTCACCAGGAGAAGGGCAAGGCAATTTGCTGTCACAGAGATTTCAGCCTCGGAAACCCTATGGGGCAGCTCTACTCTGTCCTAAGTCCTGAGTCGGAACCAACTCAACAGCAGAGGATACGTAGCACTTTGATTTCTTGAAAAATTCATGTACTAAAGGGAAATGAGTTGCCTATTTTCAAACTTCTGGCTTGATACCACACTTTAAGCCTAATTCAGACACCAAAATTTACACAGCAACAGTAACAAATTCTTGCTCAGCCACTTTCTAAAATTTTTTCATTCACTTAAACATAAATAATGTCTTCTCCCACAGACCAATGTTTCTCAGGTGTGATGTAAGTATTAAGTTAAAAAAATGCATGATGAAGTCTTAAGAAACATCATTAGATTTCATTATTGTAGAAACGTCTTAAAATAATCAATATGCCCAAATAAGATATTATACAAGTTGTAATAGCAACAAGCCAGGTGCAGATTGTGCTTCAAAATGCTGTATGAGAGCCAACACTAATGTTGTCATCTTATGCTGGCTTAGATGTTGTTGTGAAGCTAGCTGGAAGCAATGCTACCAGTATTTCAAGTATCAGCAGGGTCACCCACCATTTTAAGAAAGAACAGGGGAAAAGGCTCAGCAATCTGATAATCAGCCAGTGAAAATCTTATGGATGCGGGAACAGGGGTGGCTGAACAAAACGAATACATTTAATGTTACTGAACTGTACATAAGATGACAGAAATGACAAATGTTTTGCTAACTACACTGACCATAAAACAAAACATAAATAAATCAAAGCACGTAAACATTACATCAGACTATTGCTCAATCCAGTGCTAGAAGATGAGCCCCACGTAACAGTCACAATGACGGACTGACACACACCAGCAATCATGAAGGCGGCGTAGGCCCAGACAACATTTCACTCTGTCAGAGGCAAACAAGTTGGGGTTGACTCATGGCAACTAATAAGTAGACACGTAACAATGACGTGACCCTCTATACTCTCTATCAAATCTTAAAATAGCATATAATAGTTTACTCTTTAAATGAGATGTCAGTTTAGAGGCTAGAGTGC